GAGAAAGAGGTTGCTGGGCGGGTGAAATACAGTTGACCCTTGGACAGTGTGAGGGTTGAGGGCGCTGACCTCCTACGCTGTAGAAAATCTTCATACAGGTACAACTTGGCACCGACTCCACAGCTCCGTCAGGATGCCTTTGGCCCTGTGCCCCTACCTCCTTCTGGTTATGACTCTTTGGTGAAGTAGCCTCTCTGAGACTTGGTGATACTGGAAGTCAGCTCTCCAGTCACAGAACCCGCCCGGTCACTTGTCAACAAGCACAGCGGTGCTCAGCCTTATGTGTGACACAGGACGCAGGGGTGAGACTGCAGTCTACCCTCTGGGGGCTTGCCTCCTGGGCTCACCTGTGCCCACCAAGAATAGCCAAAGGAACTGAGCCTGGAGAAGAGAGGGGATGAGGGGGCCTTGTGGAGGAAATCTCCTGGAGGCTGGTTATTTTGCTCAGAGGAGAAAAGTGAGTGGCCAGAATTTTACAAAGCCAGTGAGTAGCAAAGCTGGCACTAAAACCCCAAGATCCTGGTGCTCTAGTCCGGTCCCCGATTGGGGAGAGAAGGACAAAAAGATCTACAGCACATTTATTATGCACCTACTTGTCCAGCCGACCGCATACCAGGATGCGACAAGTCTGAAATAAGCATTTTCGGGCAGTCCCGTCCTGCACTTCCTTAGCGTACCTTTCAGTGAAATGAGATCGTGAGAATGTCCCCTTCACGGGCTTTCTTGGAAAAAAAAAAGTTAACTAAAAGACATCGGTCAGCTCTGGGTCCCTCCGTTTGCAACTCTGTGATTTGGGGCCAAGTCACTTCATCTCTCTGTGTCTCAATTTTCTTATCACAAAGGGAGCTGTGTGCACACTTGAATCAGAGTACACTTAAATCAGTGGCTGGCACAGAGTAAGTGCTAAATACATGTATTAATAGTATTATTACCAAGACGTGAATGCCAGTCAATAAGTATGTCTCTACTACTTGAGACCTTGCCCTTCTGGGAAGAAAGTTCAGGTGTATAGGCGGGTAAGAAGGGAGGGCAAGTCTAAGCGTACACTTTGCTAGGGAGCTCCCAAACGTCTGCCCCCAATCAGCTCGGCGCCTCCTTCCCCGAGAGGAGCTGGAAAGCATGGATTACAAGCATGCAGTGGCATCCTCTCCCTCAGCCTCCCGCTTCCCGCCCTCACCCCGGCACGCTGGGCGGCCTCATCAGCTCCCCCGGGCAGCCCAAGGAATGTGAAGAGGTAGGTGGGGGTGGGGAGAAGGGGGAGCCGCCAGGGAGAGACAAAGAAGCCGAGTGAGAGCGAGAGACACAAAGACCCGAGGAGGCTGGGAAGATAGAGAAGTGGGACAAGGACACCGGGAGGGGCAGGTGGTGTCTGGAGGCCGGACCCTTGCCCAGGCCAGCAGAGAAAGCGGAGAGCAGGGGCTGGTCTGTGCTGCCCCCTGGCGGACGGGCGCAGTAAAGAGGAAGTGCGGACCGGTGTAGGACAGGGGGATGGATGCGCGAAGGGAGGCACAGAAAACAGGCAGGGGCACAGACGTCGAGAGAGACACAGAAACACACATGCACACAGAGTCAAAGGGATGGAAAAAGACACGGAAAGCAAGTGAAACATAAACAGTGATAAAAAGAGAGAGGACAGAAACACAAAGGGACACCTAGACGTTAGGAATAAAAGACTCAGAGAAATAGAGACGAAGAAGACCCAAAGATAAAGACACAAAGACGGAGGCACTAAGACAAACAGAGAAACTGAGAAAGAAGCGATGCAGCGACTCCCAGCGTCCGATGAGAAAGAGAAGAAGATTAAATGAGAAGCCAAGAAACGCGACAGTCACACTTCGAGGGGCGAGAATAAAGGTCGAGAGGCGGGGGTAGGTTAGTGTCTTGGCGTGAGGGCGGGGCTTCAGAAGGGGCGAGCCTATGAGAATCCGCATGCTTCACGCAGGTGTGACAAGAAGGCCTGGACTAAGATTGAAAAGGGCGGGGTTAAGAACTTTAGGCGGGGCTGAGACCAGGCGTCCAGCTTTCCCGGAAAAAAACGGAACGGACAAACCAGTGAGAGGATGGGCGGAGGCGTAGCTTCACGTGGGGCGGGGGCAGGGGACGGAGACTGCCCGGAGCCTGAAGGGGGCGTGGCAGGACCTTTGTGGAGAGGCCAGTGGACTCGGACTGGGGCGTGGGGTGGGGGTGGGGCCCGGGCCCCTCGATAGAAGCGGGGGCGGGGCTAGAACACAAGGGGGAGGGGCTTATAGACGCAAGAGTGTACGGAGAATTCTGGGGGAGGGGCGAGTTTGGAATGGTGGGGAGCGGCAGGTGCAGAATCCTGGGAGGGGGCGGGTACAGAATACCCGAGGACCGGGAGTGTAGAATTCTGGGAAGGGGCGGGGCAGAAAGCTGGGAGGGCTGGGCGTAGAATCCTGGGGAGCGACAACTTGGAATCTCAGGAGGGGGCGGGGCCGGAGCCCTGGATCAGCTTGGCGGGGGGGGGGGCGGCAGCGAGAAAGGGGGTGGGTCCTGTGACGTCAGCGAGTCCAAACCTACTGAAAGAAGCTAGGGGTCGGAGTCAGGCACGGAGCCGGGAGGGCCGGGACGGAGATCGGCACCGGGAGAGGACACAGCGGGAACCGGCCGGAGAGCCGGGGCCCCTCAGGCACCTGCTCGTTTGCCCAGTCGATTGGCGCACGCAGAGCCACACGCAGGCCCCTGCCCGGCCTCAGTCCCTCCCCGGGCCCCCCATGGCCCGGGCCGCAGCCCTCCCGCCGTCGAGATCGCCTCCGACGCCTCGGTTGCTGCCGCTGCTGCTGCTGCTGCTGCCGCTCAGAGAAGCCAGTGAGTGACCATAGACGCTTCCTTCCCCGCGCGGACTCAACCCTTCCCCAGCTTCTGAGTGGGAGAAGCTTGAGCACCTTTCCCCACCCCCTCCCCCAGTTCACCGAGCCCCTGTCTCGCGCGCCCTTTTCCTGACTGGCCTCACCGACTCCAACACCGACCCCCCCCACCCCATTCTCTCTCAGATACTCCGACCCTTACCTCTCAACATTCCTCTCATCCCCAACACCTTTCTAAATGCCAACTCCCCGACCTACACGGGACTTCCGTTACCCCCTGCCTCTTCCTCAGACTGTGGCGCCTAAAGGGTTAAATCCGAGGCCTCTGGCCCCCTCCCCACCCCGCGCCGTTCAGTTAATCTGGATCTGGATTTCCGTCTCCGCTTCCCTCCTCTGGAATGTCTCCCACTCCCCCCCGCCGGAGGGTCGCGATGACGAGGCGAGATCACCCCCCGTTTTTTTGTTTTCCCAGGGTTGGGCATCTGAGGCCCGGGAGAGTTGAGGGCACGGGGCCAGATGTGGAAGTCCCCAAGAGGGGCAGGGAGCTCGACTTTCGGTCCCTTGGAGAGACAAGGATGAGAGTTGGGGAGACCTGGGGAGGGGCCTTAGGGAACTGAAGCCTTTGACTCCTGGGCTTCAGAAAAATTAGAGGCTGGGAGCTCTGTTTCCTGGGGCTCAGGCAGAATGAGGGCTAGGGGCTATGTCTACTGATACTCTAACAGAATTGGGGGCAGGAGCTCAAAATTGTAGGTTTCAGGTTAATTGTGAGTAAGAGGCTCTGCCTTCTGGGTCGCAGTTAGAATCGGGGGCGGGGGGCGCGGTGCAAGAGGCCCTATGTCGTTGGCTTCAAATTTAATCGTGGGATGTGGGCTGGGATCCTGTCTCTTGGGTTCGAGATTTAATGGAGGGCCAGGGGTTCTGTCTGGAAGCTGGAGGCTCGGTCGCCTGGGTGGACTAGGTGATGGAGTAAGAGGTCGAGTCCCGAAGGCTGGGACCATTCCCTTTTGTTTTGAGTCGTTCACTGGGAAGTCCCTGGGGAAGTTTTTCCGGTTTCACTTTAACCGAGCCCAAGCAGATACCGGCGGGCGCTCTCCTGGCTCCCGCTTCCGGACTCCAGAGTTTCGGGACCTTATCTTTCCTCTAGTCGCGCCTTTGTCCTCGGAGCTGTGCAGGAGGTGGAAGCGAGGAGACGCCGCCCTAATCCCCTGCCCCTCCCTCTGCTTAGCCCAGTAGCCCCTTCCAGTTTCCCATCCCCAAACCCGGTGGGGGAGGGGCTGGGAGGGAACAGGTGAGGCAGGCTGTGGCCCCGCCCCTTGCAGGTGACCCGACTGTTTATCCCCCAACTGGAAGCTCAGGATTCTAGGTTTCGCAAAGGGGTCGTGGGGGAGCCTTGGGTCACCCCTCCGGCCTCAATTTTCCCAGCATGTCTCTTGAGTTTTCTCCCAGCCTTGACCTAGAGCTGGGTACAGTCTTTTCCATTCTCTGCCTCTCCCTTCTGTGTCAGAGATAGGGATGATCACTTCTCACCTTTTGGCTAAGATCATGTGCCAAACAGGGATGTGAGGTCAGGACCTGCTGTCCCTGGAGGAATTCTCGGACTCCCCCTTGGACCAGGCCTCAAGCTGGTGCTTGATCTCACGGAATGCTGTAGATCGCCCCAAGGTGTAGGCCTTGTACCTGTTTCCATTTTGCAGATGAACTGGGCTTGGAAGGGGCAAGCAAGCCGCCCACCGTCCCAGGATCCACAGCCAGGCCCACCCTGGGAAGCCAGACAGCAGACTTCAGAGCCTTTCTTGGTCCTGCTGTACTGGGTGGGCTCCAGAAATGGGGACCTGTAAGCCCCCACTTCCTCCCTTGTAAAATGGATCACAGTCCCTTCCTGGCAGGGCCACTGGGAGAATTCCAAGTTCCCACTGATCCCACGGGAAAGCTCTTAGCACCTGAGGAAGGGGCCTTCCTCTTCCCTGACCCTCCATCCCTGCCTGCGCCTTTGCTCTCTGCCATCTCCCTCTCTGCCCCTCCCTCCCTTCCTTCCTCTCTCTCTCTTTCCTTCCTCTTCCCTCCCTCTCCCTCTGTCCCTCTCCCTCTTTCCCTGTTTTCTTCTCTTCATTTCTCCTTCTCTGTCCCTCATCGGTCTCCATCTCTGGGCTCCTCTTTCTCTCTTTCCCTCTCTCCACCTCCCTCTGCTTTCCTCCCATCTCTATTTACCTGCCTCTTGCTGCCCGCTTCCTTCTCCTTGGCCTGCATGAGCGAGGGTGCACCGCCTGGGCCTCCTGCTTTTCGCTGCCCATCCGTGTCAGCCAGGCAGCCCCATGTCGTGGAGGGGGATGGGAGCAGAGGGGACTGTAGGCCTGCTGTCTCTTCTCATTAGGGAAGGGAGACTGGCAAAGGGGGTGATCATATCACATGATGGGGAGAGGGATCCGTGGAGAGAGAGGCACAGACGAGGACAGAAGCCAATGGAAGGAAGGTGACAGAAACAGATGTAAGGACGGGAAAGAAACCCAGGAATGGAGCCGAGGGATGGGGGAAAGGGGGAGGCAGAAAGATGCCGGAGGGACAGAGGAAGGCAGGCGGAAGGGAGCTGGTGGAGAAGACCCCAGGATAAAGGCAAAATGGCCTAAGCAGACAGACTTGGAGGTTCGATGACAGGTAGGGAGCTCAGAAGAACTCCGTCATGACTGGTGGAGATGCTGTGACCCCGGGAGGCCAGGGCGCAGGTTCCTCAAGGCCAGCAGTGGTGGGGGGTGGGGTACAGGGAGCGGTGGACATGGGAGCGACAGGGAGTTGGGGATGCCAGCCAGCTCCCCCGCTCCTGCCTGGGACACTGTTAAATTTTTAATGTCCCTGAGCTACAGAGAAATGAAGCAGGAGGGGGAGGAGAAGAGGAGACCCGGTGAGGTGGCTCAGGCAGAAAGAAGGGGTGTCAGAAGTGTGGAGAGACATAGGGAGACCCAGGAAGCGGGGAGATCACAACCTCAGAGACAGAGACCCTGAGAGATGTGGACCAGAAAACCTCGAGAGATCAGAGACCCGGGGAGGCACCACAGAGAGCTGCACCCCCCGGGGACTCGGACCCAGACCTGGAAACCCCGAGACCACAGATGTCAGCAATACAGAGGTGAGAGGACGGGAACAGTAAGGGATGTGGGTGTATCTCCTTGGGCTAGTGACAGTGTTCTGAAGCTGGTGGAGCTGGCAGATGCGCAGATCTACAAAAACACTGTAAAAGCCATTGAAACTGTACGCTGTAAATGGGCAAATTTACAATCGGAGATACATCTCAGTAAAGCCGTTAGGAAGCATAGGGGAGACACAAAGCAAAGACCGGTGCCCCTGGGAGCTGGAGACGCGGGGGCCACATTGGGACCCTAAGAACCAGATGCCGAGACAGAGACAGGACCAGAGAAACAAACACATTTAGAGCAGCGGGTGAGGGGGTCTGTCTGAGTGGCTCAGCCAGCAAGGGGGGACCCCACAGGGGAGGCCCTCCGAGTGTCGAGCCCCTGTGGAGAGGGGAGGCAGGTGCGGACGTCCAGGCTGAGGCAGACGGCCCTGTACCCTGCCGGATGCTCACTGCCCACACTGGCTCCGGATGTCCGCTGTGGGAGTGGGCACTGTGATTAATGCAATTAATTAATTAATGAGGTGGCTGAGGCAGCAGCTGAGGCCAGCGCTCAGGGCACGCCAGCCTTCAAGGGCCTCCTGGAGTCTGGCCTCGCCCTGTGGGCGAGGGCGGGTCACGCCGAGCTTTCTAGTTTATAGGTCTGGGGCGGGGGGTGGGAGGGTGGGGGGCGGTGAGCCAAGCCCTACGGGGCCAGCTGGGTAGGAGCCCAGTCCCAGTCCCTGAAGACCAGCCCCCCAGCCCCCTCCTTCTCCAGGGCTCAGGAAGTCACCGTGTCCCCTTGTTTCTCTGCCCTATCCATCCTTCTGTGGATCTCAGGCTCAGTGTCTCTGTGCCCCAAAGTTTTCCCCTAGGCTTTCCATGAGTTACCCCACTCTGCCACCACAGGAAACCTGCAGGCTGTGGCCATGGGGAAAGGAAGCGTGTCTGAGGACCCAGCTGACACCTCATCAAGCTGTCACCAGTCTGGCCTCCTGAGGGAAGTCGGTGTTCCCGTAGCCACTCTCCCCCTCACTGTGGGGCTGGCTGTGTCCCGGCCAAGGTCAGAGCACCGGCACTGGCCCAGCAGCATGCTAGACACCAGGGTCCTCACTCGGGCCAGCCGTCCTCCTGGCTTTGTCTCCCCTGCCTGCACCTGAACTGCAGAGCATCTGGGCGTCCCCCTCAGTGTCCGTCCACGTCTTCCCAGCCATCCCAGCACCTGTGCGCGTCCCAGTCCAGTTCGTCCTCCATCTCCCTGGCCCAGGTGCCTCTTCTTCCCCTGGATCCTGGCCCCACTCCATCCTGAGGGCTCTTTCTCAAGCACAAACCTAACCCCTGCCTATAACTCTCTATGGCTCCCCAGTACCCCCAAGAAAAAGGCCAAGCTTGTACTCAACCTCATCCTGTGTGGTCTAGGACACTGTTCGTTTCCCATCCCCCTCTCAATCATTCACTCAACACACTTATGGAGTTCCTGCAGTGTGCCAGGCACCGTGCTAGGCTCTGGGGGTGCTGCGGGAAACCAGACACAGGATGAAGATCCCTTCCGATCCCGGCACCAATTTGCTAGTGGAGAGGAGACGTCAGGTGCTAGAGGGAAAAATAGAGTTTCGTTGTTTTCATTAGGGTGATAAAGACCCGGTTGGAGGCAGGAGGAGGCCGTGGCGAAACGTGGGGAGAGGGCTTTCTGGGGTCAGGGAACCGCCTGTGCAGAGCTCGTGCAGAGACCCGAGGTGGGACTTGCCCAGCGCGTCTGAGGAGCAGCGAGCAGGTGGATGTGGCCAGAGCAGGGTGAGCCGAGCGAGGGGAGAGGGTGGGCAGTGGGGTCAGAGAGAGGACGAGTACAGGCTGCCAGGGCCTTGTGGCCACTGCGAAGACGTGAGCTTTTTTCTCTGAGAGTGAGCCACGGGAGGGCTCAGAGCCCAGAGGAGGCACCTGATCTGCTGCTGTAGCTTCTAACAAGACCCCCCCCCCCCGCTGCTCGTGTGAACAGACTGTGGGAGGAGGACCGGGAAGTCCCTGGCAGTGCACAGGCCTGGGGGGAGTGCAGCGCAGGGGCAGAGGGGCCCGCTTGTAGGTGTGTTTTGAAGATGGGCTGACAGGTTCCTGATGGATTGCCTGTGGGACGAGAGACAGAGGGGGCTCAGGGAAGACTCCCGATCCCGAACCTCTTACTGAAGTGGGAATGCCTAAAAAAGAGACTGTTAATCCCACGTGGACCGAGTCAGCCTGCCCATTCATTCAGAAGTAGAGACGTAGAATGGGAACATTGCAGCTGCGGCATCTTAGAACCTAGTGAGGGCGGGGAGAGGGGTGTGGGCCTCTGGGACAGAGTACTGGGGCTGAAAATTACCTGAGGAATTTGCCACACAAGCAACTGAAAGTAGTTGGTTGTTGTTTCAACCCTCTGAAGCCGAAAGTACTGAGATGCCACCAGCCCCCCAGGTGTGAGAGGGCAGCCTCCCTTAGAAGAGGGGTGGGAGCACCTTGAATCACAAGGACCCAGAGAGGGGTGAGGGGCTCTGTGCACCTGGACCTCAGTTTCCATTGAAAAGGAATAGGGCCTCCTCCTCCAGGAAGCCCCTTCCAGCCTCTCTGAGATGGGTCAGGCCCCTGCTCTGTGTGCTTCCTCCACTCCCACCCACCCCTACCCCTTCCCTCTTAACAACAGCCCTGGTGATGCCTTTTTTCATCACCAAGTGTCTTCCCCACCCCAGTGTCAGCTCCCGATGGACAGGCACCTGATTTTGCCTGGCGCGCCTATGGCGCGGAGCCTGGTCCTCAGTCAACAGTGTTTATTGAGCACCTCCTACATGCCAGGCCGGGTGCAAGCTGTGGGGATGCAGGAGGGAAAGGACAGAAAAAAGCCCTTGTGGGGGGGGGGTGCTGACTCTGAGCCCCCGGGGTCTGTTTGTTGAGTCACTAGTTGGATTGGCTTAGAATGGGGTAGAATGGCTGGGCAGAGCATGCCCCCAGGGCCTCCCCTCCCCCCTTCACTAAATCCCTTCAGGTTCCACACCAAGCCTCAGTCCTAACTTCTGCGTCTTTCTATCTACATCTTTCCCCCGGCCTTTTTGCTGTCTGATAGCCCACTTCCATCCGGCTCCACCCTCCCCTCAGACCCCTAGGCTTAAGCCAAGTCATTCTCCTGCTGAGGGGCCCTTCAAAGGCTCCCACTGGCCCCAGGGAGAACGCCGGACTCCCTGTTCCCACCCTCCTTTGCTCTCTGTGGCTCACCGGCCTGGGTGTTTTTTCCTGGCTGATTGTGCTCTCTTCCTCACCCAGCTAGAAGGGGGCGCCGCCTTTGGGGGCCAGGTGGGCGAAGGGAAGGATGCGGGGCAGCTGCACCCACCTGTCCCCCACCACAGCCCCACGTCCATTTTTGTGTTCGACTGGACATTTCATCTTCTGTGCTGCTGGTTCAGCTTGAGATGATGCTGCGGGGACCAAAAGTGAACACCAGGGAGAGCGGGCAGCCTCCTGTGCTGGCCCTGGGAAGGCCTAGCGGAGAAAATCGTTCTGTGGTGTTGGCACAGTGGGCCCTGCAGGGCAGCTGAAACGTCCCCATTTTACAGAAGGGGCGACAAGGCCACCCACCCAGAAAAAGCCCCAGAGGGAAGCCCACAGTGGTCTGCTCCAGAGTCCACACTCTTTTTATTTATTGATCTTAGAGAGAGACATTGATTTGTTCTTCCACTCATTTATGCACTCATTGGTTGGTTCTTGCATGTGCCCTGACTGGGGATCAAACCCCTAACCTTGGCACATCGGGACATTGCTCTAACCAACGGAGCTACCCAGTCTGGACCACAGTCGTACACTCTTTTTTTTTTTCCTAGTTTATTTTTAGAGAGGGGAAGGGAGGGAGAAAGACAGGGAGAGAAATATCAATGTGCTCCCTTTTGCACATACCCAGACCAGAGGCTGAACCCAAAACCCAGGCATGTGCCCTGACCAGTGACCTCTTGCTCTGCAAAACAGTGCCCAACCAACTGAGCCATCCCGGTTAGGGCCAAAGTCCCACACTCTTGAGACTGTGATGCGACCCCTCTGTAAGGGAGCCCCCCATCTCCCAAGGTGGTCCGTGGGTTTGAGTAGTGGGTGTGTGTGTAGGTATTTCGTGAGATTGTGTGTGTCACAAAATAGGCTTCACGGACGGCTTCCTTCCGGAAGTCCCTGGGACTGGCCCCACTTGAGAGGCGGCCTTTTGCCGGCACCCTCTCATTAGGGTCACCTGCTAATGTGCCCTGGGCTCTCGGGTGAGGCCGGAAGCTGGGCAGCAGTTGCCCCTTGAGAACAGGGCGTGTGCCCTTGACCTTGCCTCAAGGCTGAGTGTCAAGAGCCACTTGTAATTATACTTAGCTGGCTGTGTTTATTTAACAAGCCACTGATCTTGTATTTCCTGTGGCCTTGAGGCACAGAGAGGTTAAATGACCTGCCCAAGATCACACAGCTTTGACCGGGGAAAATTATAACAGTGAGAACTTGTAACACACCTCCCCATTCTTTTACATTGTTTCTGTAAGTGCTGATTCCGACTAATATGTAGCTTGTAGATGAAGGGCATGTTTGTGTAAGAGTCCTACTAAACTCACTTCAAAAGATACAGACTCAGACCCTCAGGCAGCCCAGCTTTGGGAGGTTCGCTGACCTTCAGCCGTGGAGGCAGGATGATATGTAATCGGGAGGACGGGAATCCAGGAATTACTAAACCGGGATGACTAAACCATTAGTTGCCTTACTGGAATGAACCGTGCTTGTCTGCATGTAGAGAGCTTTCCAACCCCCCACTCCTTATAAAAACCTCTGCCTGTACTAAGATGTGGAGATAGGCTTCGTGACGTGAGTGCCCCATCTTCCTGGGAGATGGGCTTGGAAACTCGAGTCCCCCACCTTCCAGGTGGCCAGCAACTGAATAAACCACTTTCCTCTCCATCAGCACCTGCTTCTCGAGTACAGGCTTTGGCAGAGGTGGGCAGCCGGGCCTGCTTTCTGTAACACAGCGAGCAAGTCCCAGAAGAGTCAGGATTCTGACCCCTCAGTGGCCGTGCTGGGCTGCCTGGCACAGCAGAGAAAGATTCTCCCCCCGCCCCCCGAGTTTTTATTAAAAATGAGAAAACGAGATAAGCTGAGAAATAACAACAGGCGTTGACAGAAAAACTTGAACTCAGAGTTCAAGTTCACAGCAGCTTCATTCACAATTGCCCGAAAGAGGAACAACCTGCCGTCTCCCTGGACAGTGGAATATTATTTGGCTGTGAAAAAGGCTCCAAATACTGGCAGACACCACAGTGTGCACGGATCTTGATAATATTATGCTGAGTGAATGAAGCCAGCCGCAGAAGGCCCCGTGTTTACATGGAATGTCCAGAATAGGGCCGTCTACAGAGAAAGAAAGATTAGTGATGGCCAGGAGGGGAGTGGAGGGGAGACAGGGAGTGACTGTTAATGGGTCCAGTGATTTCTTTGGGGAGTTACAGAAATGCCCTAAAATAGATTATAGCACTACATTCATAACCCTTATGAATATACAAAAAGCCATTGAATTGTACACTTTAAGTGGATGAATGGGAGTTATAGCTCAATAAGCCAAGGCTAATAAAAAGAGAGGCTGGGAGAGCTGTAGGTTTTGTAGAAAAGTGAGGGAAGGTACCTTACTGCAGGAAAAGATGAAGACAATCCTCAGACTTAAAGTTTTAAAAAAAAATTTTTTGCCCTGGCAGGTGTGGCTCAGTGTATTGAGTGCTGGCCTGCAAACCAGCGGGTCGCAAGTTCAATTCCCAGTCAGGGTACATGCCTGGGTTGTGGGCCAGGTTCCCTGCTAGGGGGCATGCGAGAGGCAACCACACATTGATGTTTCTGTCTTTCTCTTTCTCCCTCCCTCCCCCTTGCTCTAAAAATAAATAAATAAAATATATTTTTAAAAGTTCTGAGAAAATGTATTTTGTGATAGGCTTTTAGTCATTTAATTGATTTTGTTTCAGAGGATGGTTTTTCCTCCTGACATTTGATAATGTAAAATCCCCAAAACACAAGTGTGAGCTGGAAGAGTGGCCCATCCCCCACCCGCCACCCTTGACAGTGGGTCCCTTCTGCCACATTTGCTCCTTCTCATTTTCTAACCTTTTTTTTGGAGTTTGCTGAGAATACGTTTGAGAGCACACTGCGGACGTGACATTTCAACCCTGTATCTTCTAAGAAAAGGGAATACTGTGTACCTACAATTCCTTCATAACATCTAAAAATATTAACAGTAATTCCATAATATATAATATGGGCCGGACTCAACATATCTTTTCTGGCTGGCCTTTTTGGAATTGAAACTTTGAGAAGGCTCAGGCATTGTATTTGGGGCCTGCGTGTGCCCCGGGGGCCCCCTTGGTGACAGCCCTGCCTGGCCTGGGGGTACCTGGGTCCCTCCCCTGCCTGACCTCTCTCTTTGCTCTCTCCCCAGGAGCCCAGGATGGGCAAGTTCAAATGCCACCCGAGGTGCGGGGCCTGCTGGGGGACACGGTGAAGCTGCCATGCCACCTACTGTCACAAGGCCCTAAAGTCAACGTCTCGCAGGTGACGTGGCAGCGCCTGGACCCATCCGGGAAAACCCAGAGCGTGGCCGCCTTCCATCCGTCCCATGGTCTCAGCTTCCCCAGCCCGCAGTTCAGCAGCGAGCGGCTGTCCTTCCTCACCATGGGGCCGGGGCCCGGGGCCCGGCCCGGCCCAGAGATGCAGGACGCCACGCTGGTCCTCCAGGGGCTGAGAGTGGAGGACGAGGGCAACTACTCCTGCGAGTTTGCTACCTTCCCCCAGGGCACCAGTCGCGGGGTGACCTGGCTTCGAGCCATCGGTGAGCAGGGCGAGGGGGCGGGGAGGTGGGGGAGCCCCCTTGCGGGTCCGTTTCTCTCTGCTTTCTCTGTAGTCTGCCGTTCACTGGCAAATGCTCGTTAAGCACGTACTGTGTGCCAGACGCCGTTCTGCAAGTTTGGGGGGTACAGCAGGCAACAAGGCATGCCACACATATATTTTGAGGACCTAGTGTGTGCCAGGCAGCATTCTAGGCTCTTAGGGATAAAGCAGTGAGTAAATAAAAATAAGGAAAAAAAGAGAAAGGCAGGTGGCTATAGGTACTATGGAGGCTGGAGCGGCACAGGTTATAGTTTTAGCTAGGGGGGTCCGGTGGTATCTGAACGGGAACTGGAATGAGGGGAGGGGCCCCTGCGGGCCTGTCTAAGGGAAGAGAGTTCAGGCAGAGGGAGGAACATGTGCAAAGGCCCTGCGGCAGGGCCAAGAGGTCTGTGTGGCTGGAGATGTGTGAATGGGGGGGAGTAGGAAGGGACAAGGTCAAGGAGGTGATGGATTGTAGACAGCCTCATAGACCACGTGGAGACTCTGGCTTCTGACCTGACAGAAAAAGAGCTACGGGAAGTTCTGCACAGTTTGTGGTCTGACTTGGGTTTTCACAGGCTCCTTCCAGCTGCATGTGGCGGGTGAGGGTGGGAGCTAGGAGACCTCAGCGGAGGTGACCGCATGAGTCTGGGTGGGAGGCAAGGACGTCCGGACCACGGTGGAGGCAGTGGATGGGGGTGCGAAGTGTTTTAGAGGCAAAGCCAGAGGATAATCACATGAGTGGACAAAGGAAACACCAGCATGTTGTAATACAGTAAGAGATGGAGTAGCCTCTCTTTTTTTTTAGATTTTATTTATTTGTATTCAGAGAAAGTGGAAGGGAGAAAGGAAGAGGGAGAGAAACATCCATGTGCAAGACAAACATCAACGGGATGCCTCTCACGTGCCCCTAACCAGGACCTGGCCCACAACCCAGGCAGGTGCCCTGACTGGGAATCGAACCAGTGACCTTTTGGTTCACAGACTGTTGTTCAATCCACTGAGCCACACCAGCCAGGCCCTGCGTGGTCTTATTTAGATAGAACAGTCAGGGAGAGCCTCTTAGTCAAGTCCTGAACCATAGGAAACCCACCCATGGGCATGCAGCCACGAGTAGAAGGAACAGCATGTGCAAAAGCTGGGCTGTGAGCTCCTGAGCTTGGCACGTTCCAGGAACAGAAAGGAGGCTGCAGAGGAGCGATGACCAGGGCTCAAATGACCCTCAACAAGGCGGGGAAGCCAACAGGCCCGGGCTGCCGGGGCCTCCGAGGCTCCATCCAGAGCCACTGGGGCACCACGAGAGCACCCTGGTCAGGGTGTTAAAAGTATTAAAGGACAAAACTGGGGGGAGGGCATTGACGGGGAAGACAAAGGGAGGTGGAAGCTGGGAGGCCAGGCAGAGACGCCATTGCCCTGGAAGAGGCGGGAGCCGTGGAGGGGTGCGGAGAAGCAGGTGGAGTGGAGGCTGCTTCTAGGGGAGAGCAGGCGCTCCTGCTCGCACCGAGGGAGCGGGGTCAGAACGGCTCCCAGCCTCCGGCTCCAGCACGAGGGGAACCGGCACAGCCACTCGTTGGATGGGGCAGACTCGGGGAAGGCATTTTTTCAAAGGACACTGTTTCTACTAAGTTTTGGCATTCCCCTGGAAATCCACCTTTCCTCCGAGACTTCCCAGAAGCCATGCCGCTCTGGACACCTTATTTCCCCCTCTCAGCCCCAGCGAGTGTGAGGGTTGTACCATGTGCTGTTCTGGGTAAACACTTCTCTTTTTAAGGAGCTGAAACTATAAGTGGTTTCAGCGGCCAGCCCTTGTCCCCCGACCCTTGGCAGAGGTCTCCTGTGCACTCATTTGTTCTGCTCAAGACATCTCCACCGGCAGGGGCACGGGGCCGCCAGACCTCTGCTTTCTTGAGCGGAGCCTCTATAAGTGAGCGCCACTATCGAGCAAGAGGCGGGGGTCAGGAAAATTCCTTCGAGGAAGCGAGGCTGGGATCTGGGGAAGGAAGGAGAGCAGGCCCAGGAGAAGGGAGGCCAGAGCCAATGCCCCACGGTGGGTTAGGAACTGCGTTACAGGCTGGGGCTGGGGGTGGGGGGTGGAGTTCCTGGAGCCAGCAGAGGACAGATGGGAGGGGGACCAGGGAAAGGTGTGCGGGGGCGGGGGGGGGGCCATCTGAGGCTGTGGTGGTCGGGGAGGTGGGGGAAGAAGAGGAAAGGAGAGGAGGGCTATACCACGTTAGGAAGCTCAGGAGATACCCAGATGGAGAGGTCCAGAAGGAACCAGAGATGAACTCGGGACAGCCTGATTGTGGACACACGTCAGTAACTGTGGGTTCGCGCTGTTCCTCGTGGAGGTTTGTGTTCCTCCTAATATTTCCCATGTTTGTTTGTTGTTGTTGTTGTTTTAATTTTTTATTTTAGAGAGAGAGAAAGGGAGGAGAGAGACAGAAACATCAATTTGTTGAACCACTTATTTATGTACTCACTGGTTGATTTTTAAAAATTTTTATTTATTTATTTTTAGACAGAGAGGAAAGGAGGGAGAAAGAGAGGGAGAGAAACATCAGTGTGTGGTTGCCTCTTGCTCTCCCCATACTGGGGACCTGGCCTGCAACCCAGGCATGTGCCTGGTATGGGAATTGAACTGTCAACCCTTTGGTTTACAGGCTGGTACTCAATCCACTGAGCCACACTCTCCAGGGCTGATTTTTTGAAGTGTCCTGACCGAGGATCAAACCCACAACCTTGGCGTATAGGGGCAATGCTCTAACCAGCTGAGCTACCCAGCCAGGGCATATTTTTGCACATTTTCCGAGAGGATGGTTGAAGGGGCTAAACTAGGATGAGCTGTGGGTTTCTTCATCGCCTTTCTCCCACTTCTGCTTGCCACAGTCTGATGGCCATTGCAGGACAAGGAGTAGCCCCTTCCCTTGGACCTCTGAACCACATTATTTTGCTTAGGCTTCCCTTTTTAACTCCCAGCCTCTTCCAGGCTTTGGGACACTGCTTTACGATATAATGGCTGACGCCTAGGCAGAACAGTGATTGCTAGGCACTGTTCAGTTTATTTGGATGTCTCTCTAGTGCCTGCAACAATTCTGTGGGGTGGGTACTTTTATTATCCCCCCTTTATACAAGGGGAACCTGAGGTCCAGAGTTGGGGGATTCCTCGCCCGAAGCTGCGCAGCTGCTGGGCCACAGAGCTGGAATTTGAACCCAGGCACCGGGGGCTCTGCTGCTGATGGGTTTGTTGAGTGTCCGCAGGTGAGGAGTGACCGCCCCCTCTGTTCTTCTCCCAGTCCAGCCCCACAACCAGGCGGATGCTCAGGAGGTCACTGTCGGCTCCGAGCCGGTGCCCGTGGCCCGCTGTGTCTCCACTGGGGGCCGCCCGCCTGCCCGGATCTCCTGGTTTTCGCCCCTGAACGGAGAGGCCAGGGAGAGCGAGGTGCGCGGGCCCGCGGTCGGCACAGTCACGGTCACCAGCCGCTACACCTTGGTGCCTTCGAGCCAAGCAGATGGTGCCAAGGTCACCTGCAAAGTGGAGCACGAGGCCTTCAAGGAGCCAAACCTGCTGCCCGTGACCCTCTCTGTGCACTGTGAGTGTGTCGGGATGGGCCACGCCCTCGCCCTGTCCTCACTGACTATCCCCGGGGGTGGTCTGCCTTGGCTTGGGCCAGGCTCCGTACTACCCCCCTGCCCCTCGTCCACGCTTCTGCACCGGCCCCCTGGGCAGCACCAACACGCTGTCCCCGCCTCGTCTGCACTGGCTGCACAAGGCTCTCTCCCTGCAGCCGCCCCCCGTGCCCCCAGCAACAGCTTCTCAGGCTCCTTCGCCAACCGTGTCGCCTCCTGAGCCTGTCCAGCCCAGTCCACAGCAGCTACACACCGCCCCCAGCACTGTATACTGACCTTCCTGCAGTCTCCACACCAACTCCTGCCCCCCAAAATGACTCCTGTGGGCCCCGCCGGGCCCAGTCAACACTGGCTACCTCCAGTGTGTTCACACCAGCTCTTCCGAACGTGGCACATGCTGACACCCCCAGTGCTACCCTGGCGCTCTTCCCACGGGCCCGGCCCACTAGTGACTCCATCCTCGGCCACCCTCCAGACACACCCCAGACCTTGGCATTTTTTAAAGGTTTTATTTATTTATTTTTTACGGAGAGGGGAAGGGAGGGAGAGAAATACCAGTGTGCACAAGAGAGATACCAATCGATTGCCTCTTGTCCACCCCCAACAGGGCACCTGGTCCGCAACTCAGGCGTGTGCCCTGACTGGGAATTGAACCAGCAACCTTTTGGTTGGCAGGCCAGCGGTGCTCGATCCACTGAGCCATGCCAGCTAGGGCCGTACCCCAGCATTTTTCACATTGCTCCCCAGGCAGTGCCTTCCGTTAGTTAAACCAAGGTTTAATTAGACTTATCTGCTCAGGGCGTGTTGGAAATAACACACACTATCTCTAGTGGCTCCCTCAGGTGCTGCCTGCACTGAAACAAATAAACTTTCTCCAAGCGATCGGAGGGTGTGTGGACAGAGGCTGTGTTGGCCTCGGCAGAGGACACAACCCAGACAGATTTGCCCCCGACAGTTTCCATGGGTTCCCCTCCTGCCAGCCCCTCCTGTTTCTGTAGGATTCCACCCACCTGCTTACTTTTCAGCCCCTCTGGGATTCTCCCATCTCTGAGCCAGTCCCCCCAATTCCTCCAGATCCCCCCGAGGTCTCCATCTCTGGCTATGATGACAACTGGTACCTCGGCCGCACTGAAGTCACCCTGAACTGTGACGTCCGCAGCAACCCAGAGCCCACAGAATACGTCTGGAGCACGTGAGTCCTGGGTGGACCCGGACTCGGGGGTCTGAGGGAGGGGGGGCTGGGGGCCTCAACCATGAGTCCACCAAAAGGAGGCATCTGGCAGTTTTGGGGTCTCAACTCAGGAAGCAAGTTGTGGCTTCCTGGAGCTTGGCTCCTGAGGGCTGCGTCATCGGGCCCGGGCTGGTGCTCCTCTGTGGTCCCTGCTGTCCCCCTCATGTGACCTCTGCATCCTCCAGGACGTCAGGTGACTTGCCAGCCTCAGCAAAAGGCCAGGGCCCCAAGCTGATCGTCTACTCAGTGGACAGACTGGCCAACACCACCTTCGTCTGCACCGTCAGCAACGCCCTGGGCTCGGGCCGCGCCGAGCAGGTGGTCCTTGTCCGAGGTGAGCCAGTGCTCGGGGCGGCCGGGCCTGCTCCCAGATGTTCCTCCCCTTTGGCTCCAGGGCTGCGCTAGGAGAGGCTGTGCCGCCGGCCAGGGGAGGGGCCCAGACCCGCCTCGCTGCCGGGAGAGCAGGCCGCTGTGGCTTCTCTCTCGTGCCCCAGGTGGGGTCTGGATGGGGTGACAGTGTAGGTGTGGGCAGAGGAGTCTGGGAGCTCGAGACGTGTGCCAGGAGCTTCCCGGAAGGTAGGGCCGGGGAAGAGATGCAGGGACGCTGCCCCAGGTGCCAGCCGGGGAGACGCGCCCACAGAATCGCATCACTGGCGCAGAGGGACGCACATCGGGGTGGTCAGAAAGGACCAGCAGACACGAATTTCTTAGGGAGTGCTGGTCGTTACCGTCTGGAAGCTGCTTTCACTGCACGTGGGAACATTTGTGTCCCTGGAGCTGGCAGTTAGGAAATGGTGACTGCTAGTGGAAGGGGTCTGTGGGCAGGAAGCTCTCCGAGTCTCCTTGACGTGAACTCAGATACAGAGCCCAGGACGCAGAGTCTGAGAGGGAAGGGATGGAGGCCAACTCAGCTGATGCACGGGCTGCCGGAAGTAGGGCCGAGATCACAGCTGTAGACCCACACACCTGGAAGGAGGCAGGGCCGTTGAGGGGCCGGGCAGCCTGAGACTCAGACACCCACTGACCCCGTGGCTAGGAGCAGAGTCCCCTCCCTGTCAGAGCCACAGCCGGCAGGACCTGCACCCAAAGGTAACAGGGCCTCCCTGTACTTCCAGATGCTCTGGAATCAAAACAGACTCACCCGTGACTAACCCTAACCCACACACTGTCACCACAGCACACACCCAAGGGGGCGGGGCACCAGCCGAGACAGCGAACAAAGCCAACAAAGCCAGACAACACCCAGCCAGAGCCTGGGAGTCTGGGAGACACCCACCCTGTGTGGCTGCCCGTGACACACACCTGTGCACACACGACACGAGGACCGGGGCCTGGCCCCCTCAGAAACACAACCACAGACACACGCATGCACAGCCGTGTGGACGGACGTGCCCCTGCACTGGGAGACAGATGAACACAGACCCCCTTCCTGGTACCATCTTACACCACACACACAGCTAGAAGAGACACCCGGGTGACAGCCAGCCCCTCTTCAGGAAGGCGGGCACTCGCCAGGGGGACATGATGGGCCTGCTCAGAAACACTGTCACACAGGACACACTGGGGAGAGGGCCGGCCCTCCTGGGCATGTCGCCTGAGGTCCACAGACACGCACTTGAAGGGGGGGGACAGGATCATCAGACGCACTGCGGCAGGGAAGGACTGTTGATCCTCACGGATCAACGATTACGTCTTGACTCATACAGATGCTGAGAAACTCCCCCAGAAACCCCGTTATAGATTCTCTTTCCACAGAGAGTCATCTGACAAATATTCTCTGACATTTCCTCTTGGCCGGACTTTCTCCTTCATGCAGAGACCACAGTGGTGGACGAGACACAGTCCCTGCCCTCGAAGGCTCAGCCCCACCCACCCAGCAAGGCACCCAACTGGAAATACACCCCAGAACCTCCAACCCAGAAACATACCCGAGAAACAGGTCCCCACCCACACTCAGTTGGCAGGCACCTCCACGGGGTGCCACCTGCCGAACACAGACACAGCCACACTCAAGGACCATTGGAGGAACAGGGAGCCACAAAAGCATGTCCCCCCCCCCAAAAAAAAATGACACACACACAGGGAAACGCCAAGGTTGTCCACCACCAGGAACACGCCAGGTCCCAAGTTCAGCCCCTTGCCAGCACTCAGCCAGTGAAACGCTCAGAGGCCTGTCAGTATGAGGGGGGGTGGTGCTCAGCTGTCCACAGAATCACACGCCCGCCCTCTGCCTACCCCAGAGGTAACCACAGACCCACCTGAAGTCAGCACATGGTCACAGACACACCTACAGGGGAACACCAACCAGGACAGGGGTCCAGACCCAGGCGGAGGGTGTTCGGCGGAGAGCCTCGCCCATGGGAAAACTCCCTGCTCCTGGCCGTTGCTCCCAGGGATTTCAGGGACACAGACACCACAGTCCCCGCATGTGCAGGCCCGACGTGCCGTCACATAGTTCGGGGCTCACACCAGTGCAGGCCTGGTCCACCGGCCGCCACTGCCGGCTGGACCTCACTTCAGGGAGACTCTGGAGAACTCTCAACCCACAGACACTCACCTGCCATCTCAAAACACCACCCCCAGAAATGGGCAGACGGTTCCACCCTGAGTGTGAAAACCAGTTTCCAGACACTGTGGATGAAGCCCCCTTCATGCCCCCCCCCCACCAGTGTCCTGGGGAGGCACATATTTCCCCTGCAAAGAGGCTCACAAACTATTGTTTACCCTTCATACTTGAGGTACAGGTTTTCTGCTTTTTTTTTTTTTTTACTGCCACCTGAGTCACTAAACTAATTTGACAGCTTACTGGCTCAGGAGCCCTGCGTTGAAGACACCCAGAAACGGATGCCCGCAGGACCTGGGGCGGCCCCCTCAGTGTGCAGAGGTGGTGGGTGGAGGGAGGGTCTGGTGTAACTGGATCCCTCCTGGTCTCTCCCCTGGGCCATCTGCTGGGTGCAGGGGGTGGGGAAGGGGCCTGTGTGACAAGGTTCCCATTGCAGCAGCCCTTCTGTGTGTGGGGGGGGCGATGCTTCCTCCCTCCCTCCCTCCTCCGCCCTCCCTGGCTTCCTTCTCACTCCACCCCCATCTTTCCCTTACTGTTCAGCCACTGCAGGGAGCACTAGAGGGTGAAGGGACAGTAGTCTTGCTGAGCCTCATTTTCCACACTGGGGGCAGGTGGCCTGGGCAGGAACCACGCTGCCCCGACCAGATGCTCGCTCCCGGTGCTGAGGGGGGGGGCAGTTCTCCGGAGGCCCCGCCCCCTCACGCTCCCTCGAATCCACCTCTCCGTCTTCCTGACTGGCTCTGCCCAGAGATTTGATGATGCTGACCTCAGAGCTCATCCATCCTCGAGGGGCCACAAACACACACCTCCTGGGTCCCAGCAAGCAACCTGGTGGCCAGGTGTGGCACTCAGTTCCCTTCCCAGCCACCAGCCTTCTCGGGGTTGCCCATCACTGGCCGGAGGACGTGAGACCTTGTGTTGCCAAATCTGACTTCCACCCCCCTGAATGAAATCTGGAATTTTCAGTGAAATCACCTGGTGTTTGAAGCGTTGGCTGGCAAGTTTAGTGACACGGGGGCCCCCAACCGGCAGCCCCTCCGGGTACAAAGCCTGCAGAGGAGTGAGCGGGTTTGCCCCTTCCCCCTCTGCCCAGCGTCTCCCTAATTCCTGTCACTGCCCGCTCCGCTTCCCCTGAGATGTATCCTCTTGACCGCGTGTCTCCCTTTCTCTCTCTCTCACCCTCCTCTCTCCTCAGACACCCCCCGGGCCTCTCCCCGAGACGAGGGTCCCATGGTGTGGGGGGCCGTGGGGGGGACACTGCTGGTGCTGCTGCTTCTGGCTGGGGGGGCCTTGACCTTCATCCTGCTGAGGATGAGGAGGAGGAAGAGCCCTGGAGGAGGAGGAGCAGGAGGAACAGGAGGAGAAGGACGAGACGGCAGACGAGGATCCTACAATCCGAAAACTCAAGTGTTTGAGAACGGGGGCCCCGTCTACTGGACCACAGCCCCCGGGCCCCTGCGGCCGGACGGCAAGGACACAGAAGAGGGCTTCGAGGAAGAGGAGGAGAAGGCAGAGAAAGGCCTCATGCTGCCTCCGTCCCCGGCACTCGAGGACGACATGGAGTCCCAGCTGGACGGCTCCCTCATCTCCCGGCGGGCGGTTTACGTGTGACCCCCGAGACGGACAGACAGACAGACAGAGACAGAGCCTGCCAGTGCCAGCCGTGGGCTCCAGACTGGTTGGACTCGTTTGCCCGGGTGACACTGGAGCTCAGATGCTACCTCCCGCTTCCCTGGGATGCAGAGGGAGGTGGAACGTCTCACACTGGACCTACGTCTGCAGGGCCGCGTGGGGGAGGGGCCCACAGAGGGGCCCCCCTCCCTGCCAGACTTGTTTTTGGCTCTGGTCTGCCCCAGCCCCTGCCTTGTGACACTCAGGAGTTAATAAACGCCTTGCAGGAAAACACCGGGGGTGTCTTGTAATACACTGGACCCCCCCCTTGTGGGGTAGGAGAGCTGGACTGGGCTCCAGGCAGTGGGAGCCTGGTGGGGCTAGCCTTGGGAAGGCTGGGGGGCTCTCACCATTTGGGTCCATGAAGGACAGCTTGGATGCTGAGACCCCCTGAGGCCAGTGGGGTGGGGATCTGGGCTCAGAGACTACAGTGCTTGGACTCAGAGGTTCCAGGCTGCCTCCCTGGAGCAGCGGCCAGGCCAGGGCCCTGGGAGGGCAGGCTGCTCCCCTGGCATTTTCTGCCCCAAGGTGCAGGGCAGGCGGGACGGCTGAGAAAACAGGAAAGTCCCACCCCTCCAACTGGCCTTTCCCAGCCTCCTTCCTCTTTCTTTTTCCCTGGGGGCCCAGCTAGAGGGAATTTCAGTGATTCGGAGGGAGGAGCTGCAGCACTGTACTGCCACCTAATGCCCCCAACCCCAGGCTGGGGACTGAGGTGTGGGCGTAGGAGGGGCAGGGGTAAATCCCAGTCATGTCAGTGCGCCCCCACCCCCCCACTCCCCATGGCCACACTATGGGCTTTGTCTCTGCTTCTGACCCTGTCACGCAGCTCCATGGGCTGAGCTCCATTGCCCAGTCTGGGGCCGTTCACTACTTACTGGTGAGTTCACTTCTACCAATTTTGATTTCCGCTCAGCTGCTGGGCACACAACGGTAACCAGGGCAGGCCTGGCCCTGCCCTCCCAGGCATGCAGTCAGTAAGGGCGACGAGAGAAACAGTAATTTTAGGATGGCACGGATGGACTGGGCGGCAATTACTGTTCTCCCACGCCCGATCCTCCCGAGGAGGCCGGGCTGTGGAACAGGAAGTGTGGATGGAAATCAGGCCAGGCCAGGGATGCGGATGAGATTCCTCTGGGGGCTTTTATCTCCTCATCTACCAAGTGAGCTTCCTGGACCCCTGAGGGGGAAGCCTGTGCATGGGGCTTTTGCTCACAATACTTCCTCTGGTTGTTTACTGTCTGCACCTCCCCCTCCCCCCCCTGCCCCTCTCCCCACTGTGGGAGGGCAGGGCCAAGAGGGCCCAAGCAGGGATTTTGTCAGTCTGGCGTATAATAGGTCCCGAGCGCCCTGTGCCCGCCCCTCCTGACCCAGCTAGCAGAGCCAGCCTGCCCTTGGAGCTCACAGCCTAGTGTGGAAACTGGCAGCCAGGACAGAGGTAATTGCTCCAATAACAACTGTAGGAAGTGCAAAGTGCTACCCAGAAGCCCAGGGGGCCGTAAGGTTCTCTCAAGCCATTTCCCTTTAGGTTGGAGGAGCCCCGACCCTCTGCCCAAGATGACTCCTTTCCCCATAATGAATGACAGGTTATGATCCCAATCCCAGAATCCCACCCCCTGCAATTCTCTGCCTTTTAGACCCACTCCCCTCCCCACCGCTTCCCTTTCCTCGCTTCCCTGCTCTTCCCCTCATCCCTCTGCTCCTTGCCATTCCTTAAAAACTACACAAAGCTTCCTCCTCAGGGCCTTTGCACTGGCTGTTGTCTCTCTGCCCAGACGGCTCTCGTGTTCTCATGGGTCACCCTGTACAGCCCCTTCAGGTTGTTGCTCGAATGTCACCTTGCAGGAAGGGTCTCTGACTGCTGACTTGGTCACTTCCCATCACCTTCCCCACTGTGTGGTTTTATCGTACCTCACTCACTGCCACCTGCCATGTCAGCTCTCGTTTCTGTACTGTTGGTCTCCCTGCCCAACTAGAACCTAGTTCCGTGGGGACTTTTGTATTTTTGTTGTTCGCCACTCTGTTCCATAAAAAGTGCTCAGTAAGGATTAGTTGAATGAAAGGATGCCTGTCCCCTGCCTTTGAGGCGGGCAGCTGGGTGGTGACTTGGGGAGGCGCGGTGGGAGTAAGGGGCTGTGGCTTCCTCATGGAGACTCCCTTACACTGTCCCTCTTCTTGCAGAGTCCCCCAACACGGCAGGTGCAGGGGCCACAGGCGGCATCATCGGGGGCATCATCGCTGCCATCATTGCTACCGCTGTGATTGCCACAGCCATCCTCATCTGCCGGCAACAGCGGAAGGAACAGAGGTTGCAGGCGGCAGAGGAGGAGGAGGAGTGAGTGATGCAGGAGGGGTTCCAGAACTGGGGAGGCCGGGCTGGGGGTGAAGGCAGGAGAAAATCATCTGTAATGGCTGCGTGAAACAGACACTCAGTGACTATGGCATGTGTAGGGTGGGGAGGGGAGAGTTTGCTTCTAGCTCATAAAGCACGGGTATGACAGCCACGCTCTGTGGAGTCATCAGAGCCCAGGCTCCCGCTATCTTGTTGCTCCACCTTTGCTCACGTTTCAAGGTGGCTCCCCACTCTTCTCTCATATCTGTGTACTTGACAACAGACATGGCTATCCTGGCCTCAAAGCCCTCATGCCTGCTGGTGGGAAAAGGAAAATAGAGGGTATTCAGCCACCCTATAAGGGAATCCATCATTTCTCATTTCCATTGGCCAGAACCTGTCACGTGGCTGTCCACAGCAGCAAGGGAAGCTGAGAAATGTAGTCTTTATTCTGGGTGGCCGTGTACCCAGTAAAATCTTTACTAGTATCAGAAAGGAGGAGCCTGAATATCAGGGAAACTAGCTACACTTCTCTGTTTATGACACCTCTTACATGCCAGGCTTGGTGAGATGTATTTTATATATGTAACATCAACACAGCCTCTCATCTATTCACTGATTCAACAAGTATTCAATAAGTACCCACTCAGAGCCAGGCCCTGGAGGTTAGGAATGCAATGATGAGACAAGCATGTAAAACGTGTCCACACACATAAACATATGGAAACATAAGTTCTTTCTGTCTTAAGATTTTATTTATTTATTTTTAGAGGCAGGGAAGAGAGGGAGAGAAACATCAATGTGTGGTTGCCTCTCATGTGGCCCCTACTAGGGCCCCGACCTGGCCCACAACCCAGGCATGTGTCCCGACCGGGAATCGAACCGGTGACCTTTTGATTCGCAGCCCACGCTCAATCCACGGAATCACATCTGCCAAGGCCATTCATTCATTCATTCTTTTAACAAACATTTACTGAATTCTTCGTAGTGGGTCCTGGGAATGCCTTGTTGAACGAAGACCTCGTTTTCTCCCTCACATTGCCCACAGCTGGGTGCAGTCACCCACTGACATCAGAAACGACATTGCAGATACAAACTCAGTTGTGTGCCTGAGAGGGAGGTATACTGTTAGATGTGATCGTGTAACAGGAGACCCTGATCTTCCTGGAGAGTCGGGGCGGCTTCCTGGAAGAAGAAGATTCATGGGATAAGTAGGAGTTAGCCGGGCAAGGGGAACAGTGGTGGTGGAAAGGGGTATCAGGCAGAGAGAAGAGCCTGTGCACTGGCCCCGGGGTAGGAGGGCTTCTCGGGTCTGAGCCACCACTTGACCTACTTCCCACCCCACAGCCTGGAGGGGCCTCCCTCGTACAAGCCGCCCACGCCAAAGACAAAGCTGGAGGAGCCAGAGATGGTAAGCACTTTGTACGGTGCCCAGCCGCTCCCACCTCCATGCCCACCTTTCCCCAGCAAGGCCAGGGCTGGGAGGAGGGGGCTGCGTGGAGGGGCCGACTGTCCCGGGGTCCTGAATTGACCCGCCCCCTCCCACGGCAGCCCTCCCAGCTCTTCACTCTTGGGCCTTCGGAGCACAGCCCACTGAAGACCCCCTACTTCGATGCTGGCATCTCCATCTCTGAGCAGATAGGAACTCAGGTGAGGAGGAGGCTGGGCTCAAAGGCTCAGTTTAAGGGTCCGGGATCAGTCTCTGACATAAGAGATCGAGGACTGAAGGTCACAACTCAAGTTCAGAGCTCTGTCTCTGGCCAGAGATTAGGGTTGAGATATGTTTAGAATTCAGTGGAGGAGGTCATGACTGAAAGACCCAAGGGCATGATGTTAGAGTATAAAGTCAGTCAGTGAAGATTAGTTGAACGTCCACATTGGCTAGATACTGTAGGACAAGCCAGTCACTTCCCTCAGTGGTCTACTGGAGGTCAGGGGTCAGATGTGGAGATTGTGATGAGTGAAGATTTCAGGGGCTATTTCAGGTTTAAGGTTAGGTAGTTGAGATCAGGACCAAAGACAAAGGTTCATGGGGAAAGACTTGGGGTCAGGAATCAAGAGACAAAGTAGAAACCCAGGACGGACAGGGGGAGAATCCATGCTCTGGGCTTTGAATTAGGGACAAGCTGTGATTGTCCCAGTGCATTACTGACCCAGGTGACAAGGGTTGAGTCATCTTGGATCTGGTCATCATGGGCAGATGGTCAGGATTTTGGAGTCAGGGGGCAGATTGGCATTCTGTGTCATGCTCAGAAGGTGACCTTGGGCTCCTATTCCTTTCTTGCTCCCAGGAAATGCCTCGGTACCATGAGCTACCCACCTTGGAAGAGCGACCGGGGCCCCTGCTCCTGGGGGCCACGAGCCTGGGGTCCCCCCTCCTGGTGCCTCCAGGGCCGCCTGTTGCAAAGAGGATTTCCTTGGATCTAGAAGATGAAGATGATGAGGAGGAAAACTACCTGGACAAGATCAACCCCATCTACGATGCCCTGTCCTACTCTGGCACCTCTGATTCCTACCAGGGCAAAGGCTTTGTCATGTCCCGGGCCATGTATGTGTGAGCCACCATGGCCCTGGCCTCTCACCTCTCTGATCCCTCAACTTGCTGCCAGGGATCTAGTGTCCCCTGACCTCTGACCCAGCCAGCCACACGCATGTCATCTGTGACTTCTACCTTGGTGGGTCCACTATGACCTCTAACCCATGATCTCTGACCCAGAGAAAATGGCCATGACAGTGGAAACCTGGCAACCTTATCTCATGTGTTGGAAAGGGTAGGGTATGTATCTGCACAACCTCTGACCCAAGCACTCCTAAGATGGCAACCTTAGTTCACACCTCTCATATCCCAAAATCTCCAGTCTCCTCCCAAATCCTTTCAAAGACCCCAGCCTCTGATTTGTCCTCAGGCATTAAACTCCCAACAGCTCTGCTAGGTTGGATGTTAGGGGTAGGCACCCTGCTGCTCAGACCTGAGCCCTCCAGGCAGCAGAGCCCCACTCTGGCCCCCCACCTGTTCCCCAAAGATGAGAAGGAAGGGATTCCCCCTCTCCCTCCTGCAGGCAGGAGTCTCAGGGTCCAGGCCTTTCTTTGAGTCCCCGCTTCCCCATTTCCTGATTTCAGGAATTTAGCTCCAGTCCAGGACTAAAATGAGTGAGCATCACACAGAGTGTGCCTTGCTAGCTCCAGCCTTGAGAGAATTTCTTGTTACTTTGAAGACAACTAAATCCTTTTACTGCTGCTCAGTGGGATGGGACCCAAACATCTCCCGGGGAGTGGGGGGTGCAGATGGGGATCTGATAGTTTTGTAATATGATATTATCTACAAAATATGAATTTATACATTGACCAATTCTCAACTTGGGTTTTCTGTGGGGTGTGCAGGGGAGGAGGGTGGGACATGGTAGGTAATGAACACGGGGCCCAGGGCTTAAGGCAATCAGTAGACTAGAAGTCAAGATGGGTTACAGGCAAAACCAGAAGAGCCAAAGACGTGAAAAGAGAAATTAAGTGAGGGGATAATGAGAAAAATACATAAACCAAAAACAGTGATGACTAACGGAGGGGGGTGAATCCCGGCATGGTGGTTAACAAAACAGTGCAACAGCAGTCTAACGGTTAACGAGCAGAAATGAATGGTAGACACACAAATGGTAGTAATTAAGTACAAGGGGTTCAAACTTAATGCATAGGTGGCAAGTAAGAATAGGCCAAGGGCAAAATTATGTAATAGGAGCTCAGGACATGATGGGTAATAGATCTGGATGAAGGAGCCAGAGGCAGAGATGGATAATGAAGAAATAGGGGCTGCAGGCATGCTGGGTAATGGACTCTAACATAGTTAATTGAAGAGCTAGAAGAACGACGAAAGTGAACAGGTACAACAGAAACAGGCTGAAGGTAGTACAGGCCAGGAGTCCCCGGGCCGCGGACCGGTAGCGGTCCGTGTCCTGTTAGGAACCGGGTTGCACAGCAGGGGGTGAGCGGCGGCCAAGCGAACGAACCGGTCCTTGGTGACAAAAAGGTTGAGGACAGCTGGTATAGGCAATAAACCTGAAATGAATGGGGCGGGGGCATGCTGGGTAATGGGACAGGAATGAATGGGCCAAAGGTAGAACCCGCAGCTACAAAGGTTTAGGGTGTAGGGAGCGGGGAACAGAAGGCATGATGGGTAAGGACAGGGGTGGGTCTGTCGCGTTAAGCAGGTACAGGGCATTGTGGGTAACAAAAAGCAGGAGAGGGTTCACATAACCGGTTAGAATTCTCCAAAGGCACTGTGGGAAAAACCAACACTTCCGGCTTTCGGTCGCTGACTCGGGACTGGGGACTGCCCCTCTGCCGCGGTGCGTGGTGGGACGCGAGGCCTGACCTTGCTGCCTAGCAGCCTCTGCCGCGCAACCCACCTTTACCCGTGTCCCCCGACCCTGGCACGTTAGCCAATGAGCACACCAGACTGATTATGTCACCAGGGTCGGGCCCCTGTGCCCGCCGGAGCCAATCATAATGCTGCAAGGACCAAAGCCGGCCAATTATTATGGCAATTTCACCGCGGGGCAAAGTCGAAAGAGGGCCGCCTTCTAAAGAGGGGCGGAGGCGGCGAGTCGGTGGGCGTTGCAAAGTGCTCCGCACAAACCAATGATAGGACAGCACCAGAACCCGCGGCGTCCCGAACCAATAGGCGTGGGCTCCAAGAGTCAATGGGAAGGGCGGGGTGATGTGCTTCGACCTGCTCGAGAGTGGAAGCCAATAAAAAAGGACGTTCCAAAGAAGTGGCTGGGACTCCCACCCGTGGCACCAATAGTAGGGCCAGACTCTTAAATTAGTGGGCGGAACCTAGGGCAGGCTGAACCAATAAGCTATGTGGGGCGGGGCAATAGTGGCGGCGGCGGCGGCAGTGGGTTCGGTTGCGCGTGGCACACGGGGTGGGAGCGGAGCCCAGGCCGGGAACAGGCGCTGCAGCCAGTGAGAACCGGCGCCCAGAGCAGGGCGGGGGTTGGCTGTGGACAGGGCCTGGAGCGCGCAGGCCCTGACCTCCGCCCTCTGACCTTTTCCCTTGCAGGCGACCATGGGGAACGTGTTGGCCGCTAGCTCGCCTCCCGCAGGGCCGCCGCCGCCGCCGGCGCCTGCCCTCGTGGGGCTGCCGCCGCCTCCGCCGTCTCCTCCGGGCTTCACGCTGCCGCCGCTCGGGGGCGGCCTGGGCTCTGGGGCTGGCTCGGGTCGGGGTTCAGAGCGGACCCCCGGGACTGCGGCCGCCAGCGCCACAGGGACCGCGGATGATGGGGCCTGCGGCTGCCTGCCCAACCCGGGCACGTTCGAGGAGTGCCACCGGAAGTGCAAGGGTGAGGGGCGAGGGACCTGCCGGGAGTGTGATGGCCAGTATCTCGGGGGAAGGGGGAGTACATTGAGACAACCTTGAAAATTGGCACCGACCTTTAGGATTATTTAACAGAGCGTTAGGAGTTGACGTTGGGATCGAATGGTGGAACGTTGGACTTGGAGCTTAGAACGATGGGATCAAATGGTGGAATCTCGGGATGGAATGGCATAGGAGTAGAGAAAAGCCTTAGGGACCTCAGGAGCCCCGGGGATCAGCCAAGCCAGCCTTCTCATGTGATCGGCCGAGAAACTGAGGCCCAAGGTCACGGTGTCAGCAAGGGTCTAGTGGGAGTGAAAACCAAAGCTTCTGAATCCTGGCTTGGGATCATTGTGATAGCAAAAGTGTTGGAGATTTATGGAGTGCTATTCCGGCATTCGGTATATATTAAGTCGTAAAATCTCTGCGATGTTTCCATGTGGTGCATGTCATCGTGCAGATGACAAGTTTGACAGAGATAAGGGAACTTAGCTAAAGGCATGCAGTTGTGGGTGGTTGGCACTGGGATTTGGACGCAGGCACAGGCTCTGGTTTGGCCGCATCCATCAGGCACACTGCCGTGTTACTGGTCGGACACCCTGCGGGACATTCTGCCATGGTTCCTTGGAGAAGGGAGGGCTGGGGTGAGAATTGGGTGTGTGTGTGTGTGTGTGTGTGTGTGTGTGTGGAGTGTGACAGCATTTCTCTTCCTCAGAGCTCTTTCCTATTCAGATGGAAGGTGTCAAGCTCACAGTCAACAAAGGGTTGAGTAACCATTTCCAGGTGAGCCTTCTTGCCTCCAGAGGTGCTCCCATCTATCCCCCTGCATCAGCACCTACAAACCCCTCCCTCCTCCCTAAAGGGCTGGGCTCTAGTGCTAGAAAAGACTTGATTCAGAGACACAGTGCCAGGCTGATTTCTCAGTGGGGAGCCAATGGTACTGTTTAGGGACCCAGAATTCAGAGATGCCCCTTCTAGCATAACATCCAAAAGTGAAGTGTCAAGTATGTGGCCCCGCCCACAGCCATTCCTCCTCTTAAGTCTCCAATCTAGTTAGGCGAAGCCTCCTAGTCCTCACCCCCTGCCCAGCCATAGAGGCTTGTCTTTCCCTCCTTGGTAGGGAAGCCCGACAGACAGGTATGCCCCATCTGAGGCTAGAGGTGGGCTCCGCTGGGCCTCGGGGGGTGGCCTGCAGCCTCATGCCCACAGCCCTCCCTCCTCTCTCAGGTGAACCACACAGTAGCCCTCAGCACAATTGGGGAGTCCAACTACCACTTCGGGGTCACGTACGTGGGGACAAAGCAGCTGAGTCCCACAGAGGTGAGTTTCCTCTTGTCATTTCATTCATTGTATGACTCTTCCTAACAAATACATAGCCAACCACCAGGAGGCTTTGTCAGTAGGAGGCCAGAGCTGCAGAGGGGGCTGTGAGGGGCAGAGCTGTGTCTCTCCAAGGTGCATTGGAATGGGGGTCATTCCTTCATCCTGAACCCCTCTGCCCAGTCTTGTGCTGGGGGAGGCTTTGAATGTCAAGCTAGGCATGTGGACTTTCCCTAGGGGGCACTGGAGAGCCATGGAAAGATTTGAATTAGGGAAAAGGTCTGGTCAGGTTGATGCTTTAGAAACGTGGCTCAGGCTGTCATGCAGAGAGAGGCTAGGTTAGGGGAGTGGGGGCAAAACTGGAGGCCTGGAAGGAGGCTGGGGTTAGGGTTAGCTGGGACACTGAATTAGTTGACTTTTTTTTAAAGATTATATTTATTTATTTTTGGAGGGGGAAGAGAGGGAGAAAAATATCAATGTATGGCTGCCTGTCATGCGCCCCCACTGGGGACCTGGCCTGCAACCCAGGCATGTGCCCTGACTTGGATTCAAACTAGTGACCCTTTGGTTCGCAGGCCGCACTCAATCCACTGAGCCACACCAGCCAGGGCTGAATTAGTTACCTATTTCCATTCAATAAATTTGCTTATCTACAAGCTTTCATTGTACCCCCATTCTGTGCCCAGCTCTGTGCTGGGGTAATAGCAGTGACTGAAGCAGCTAACGTGCTCACAGTCTAGTGGAGAGAGGGAACAGGTCTGTCCCCAGGGAGTCACAGTCCAGGGGGTGGGCAGGCCTGAAAGGGGGGGATGCAAAGGCTATAGGAGTCCAGAGGGGAACCTTGTTCAGCCTAGGTGGTCAGGAGGGCTTCTTGGAAGAGGGAATCCTCAGTCTGAAGCTTTCTTTTTTTTTTTTTTTACCTGACTTTTTAAAAAACATATACATATTTAATACATTTTATTGATTATGCTATTACAGTTGTCCTATTTTTCTCCTTTTATTCCCCTTCGACCTGCACACCCTCTCTCACCTGCATTCCCCGCTTTTAGTTCAGGTCCACAGGTTTTACATATTAGTTCTTTGGCTTCTCCATTTCCTATACGATTCTTAGCCTCCCCCTGTCTATTTTCAACCTATGATTTTTGCTACTTATTTTCTGTTCCTTTTTCCCCCTCTCTCACCCTCTCACTTCTCCACTGACAACCTTCCATGTGACCTCCATTTCTGTGATTCTGTTGAAGCTTTCTGATTCTAAGCATCTCTCCTGGGCCTGTCACTTGTGTACTTGCATAATGCTACACCTCTGCCCTCTAACCTCTTACCTTACCTTACTCTCCGCCTCACAGGCATTCCCCGTGTTGGTGGGTGACATGGACAATAGTGGCAGCCTCAACGCTCAGGTCATTCACCAGCTGGGCCCCGGCCTCAGGTCCAAGATGGCCATCCAGGTGAGTGGGAGTCGAGTTGGAGGCTCACCCGGCTGACCTGGGCACCAGGCTGCCCTCACGCTCCCCTTCCTTCCCTGCAGACCCAGCAGTCAAAGTTCGTGAACTGGCAGGTGGACGGGGAGTACCGGGGCTCTGACTTCACAGCAGCCATCACCCTGGGGAACCCTGACGTCCTGGTGGGTTCAGGTAAGAGACACAGGGCTTGGGGGGCCGGTCTCATTCCAATC